CTGGGGGGGGGTGTTAAATTAATAACATATCGAAGAATTTAGTGGAGGTATCACAAATGTTGTCATTTGTTTGTTTGATAAAGTACAGATTTCATTAAATTAAAACCTAAAAAGAACATAAACGTGCATTGCAATGAAACTACTTAGATGGGGCAGATCTTAATATACTGAAAATACAAAGTGGAAAAAAAGAGAGACAGATAAAAAGTAATATGTTTATTTAACTCCACCACTGAAACAAGCATAAGACCAATTAACAAATATATTGTTTTATCTAAGAGTTGCTAATATAGATAAATTTTTGGTAATAGTAACAATTTTGTAGATTAGTTTATCCTTTCTCGCACGGTAACAGAAATTTTAAAAAATTCATCAAAGAAAAGAACCTGGACTTCTGTAACGGTATTAGAAATAATGGATAGATTTAATTTTAATAGCCCGTTTGGTCATGAACGTTTTTTTACTTTTTTTCGAAAAATTTTCACTTTTTTTCGAAATCAGTGTTTGGCCATGAAATTTCTAATTTTCACTTGAAGATGAATTTTGGAATTTTTCGATTTTTCAAAATTTTCGCTCAGGTCACTCACAAAAATTCAAAAACAACCCAAAATTATATTCATTTTCAAATACAACTCTAATTTTCAAATACTATTTTCATCCGAAAAAAATTCGCTTTTTTCCCGAAATTTTACGGTTCTTATGTCCAAACGCTTAGTGTATGAAAATGAAATTTAGACCTCACACACGTGACACCAGAGATATTTTGAATCTCATTGGATCGTGGGCCTAATTAAATTAACTCAAGTCTAAGCCTAAGCCTGTGAAAGCTAAAAATAGTGCCAAATTTTAATATATTGTGCATTAAAAGAGCATATGAAAAAAATAAATTAAAAGGGCATCCAGATCTCTACTCCTTTATTGCAGAATAAAATTTTTGGCTCCACTAGCAATAATTCAACTTCAACCCCGTCCCTCCCTAACACTCTATTTGGATCATTGTTTCCTATCGTTTTATAATATATTGTATTGTATTGTATCGTATTGTACCGTATCGTTTTATGAATACAATATTTGGATAGATTGTATTGTTTGTTATTGTTAAATAATATTTTGTTGTTTGGTTTGACTGTATCGTACTGTACTGTAACTGATAAGTTTACTAAAATACCCTCAATCGTTTAAATATTAAATTTATCAAAATTATGTATAAAAATAATTTTAAAAAATAAACCAGAAGAAGGCAAAACACAATAAGGAAGCAGAACAAAGGAGCGAGACATAAAAAGGCAAAACAAAGGAGCACAACTAATTAGAATTGAGTTACAAGCAAATATTAGGAGAAAAAATAAAACAGGAGGCAACAAAACACCTTTAACATTGGTCTGGAAAAAAACAAAGTAGGTTATAAGTTGGAGATTTGGAGTTAAAATAGAAAAAAGATAAAGGGTAAAATAGAATTATGGAGTAATAAGTTAGGGCATAATTGGAAAGAAAAATAGGAAACAATCCCACCACACCAAATCGGTTGTTTCAAAAAAGGGGACTTTTCATTGTTCCGGAACAATGGATTTAACAATACAATACAACCAATTTTAATGAAACAATCAAAACAAACATTGTTTTGGGATAACAATACAATACAATACAACGAGGAACGACCATCCAAACAAGCTGTAAAGGAAATTAAAGAAATTTCATTGAATTCGAATTGTTAGATTCGTTGGCTATGACCAAAACAGTGGATCTCTCTTACAGAACTTCATAGTATTAATTGTTCAAATATGTAGAGAGCTAGAAACGAGTTAAGTTGATTGCGACTTTACTCTATGCATTTAGGTTTGAAAATGAAAATACATGTAATCCTTAACCTCAGAAAATATATATACATGTATCACCATTGGCATTCTTAGTTATCAGTTTCTAAACCACAAAAGAAAAAAGTGTCTTTCTAAATTATGAAATGTAAATTTATTTGTTTCTTTCTTCAAAAAGTGTAAAATTTACATGAAATAATTTTCTCATTGTTTCTGTTACTAATAGTTCATATTGCTTTTGCACGCAAGGGTATAGCCTAACTATCAATGTAGTGAGTAAAAATCTCGAGAGATTAAGCTTCAAATCTAAACACAGACAACAAACACTTAGTAATTTCTTTGTATTTATTTAAGATTTGGTGGACAGAGTTAACCGGAATTTATACTAGCAAGAGTTAGTAAGTGTCTAATTGAAGAATCGAGGAGCGTGCAAACTCCCCCGTAGTCTACCGTTATTCAAAAGGAAAGGTTCATGTTGTGTTTTGCCAAAAGGTAATATGCGAACAAGCAAACAATGTTCTTTTGCCTTTAAAAAAGTCCCCCAATTCTGGCTCTTTCCAGCTTTCAAGATATAAGCCTTGAATGGTCTTCACATCCAAAGCAGTAGTAATATGCTTTTCTCAGCAAATTTTCCTTACTTTTAAGTCCTTAGATCTCAGTCAAAGTTCCTAATTTGCAATGCCAACAAATAAGTACTTCTCACTAACTTGTCTCCTCCTCTGCTTTTAAGGTAAGCTATTTGTCCGTGCACTTTTCAACCCCTTCTCCTTATTTCCTATTCTTGGTCCAATATAGAGTACGTGGGGGGTGTCTTTATATTTGCTTCAACCCTTGAATACACTTCCAACAAGTATAAAATACCTTATCTGCACGTGCTTCCAAATCTTGAAACTCATAATTTTGACCATTTGAACAAGTTTTGATAACTCCAAGAATCACAATTTCTCGTAGTCATGTGATGTGTACTTAAGTGGTTTTTCTCTAGGACATGTCATTTGACATAACTGGTAAAGTTATTGATGTGATCAGTAAGTCACGGGTTCGAACCATGAAAACAGTCTCTTGCAAAAATATAGGGTAAGACTGCGTATAATAGATAAACCCTTTCCCGAATCCTACACATAACAGGAGCTTAGTGCACCGGACTGCCCCGTATCACCAACCCATTTTCTTAACCAATTAAGTAGGCATGTTTAAAACAGGGACCAAAGACCATATAACTAGTTAGAGCAAAAAGCTTTGAAACTAATGAGGTTTTTCTTAATACCGTATGCAGCATGAAAACCATGATAGTGACTCAAGGGAAGTGCTATTTTTTGTTGTCTAGAGCTATTATTACAAGAAAGACTTTAATAGGAAGTTGAAAGTTCAGTTGAAACCCTCTTTACACTTTTGTCCTCTCTATCCATTCTCACACCCCAAACAAGCTAGAAAGAACAGGCCAGCATTTCCAATCAGCAACACAGCAACTCTTTCCAATAAAGATCAATAAAAAAGGATAGCCCGGTGCATTAAGCTCCCGCTATGCCCGGGGTCCGGATCACAAGGGTCTATTGTATGCAACCTTACCCTGCATTTTCCCAACAAATGTACCACTACCCTCAAAGAACAACAATTTCTAACATTCATAACTGCTCACTGCAACAGAGATGAGAGAACATACACAAGTAAATCTTGATAGTTCACAAAGGGGAAAGGGTGAATAATCACTTGAAACCAGTACAATATTAAAAAGAAGCAGGGTAGATGAGACATAAGAAGTAAAAGCTAAGAATGCAATTGGTCATTCAGAAAACAATTGAGAAGGAAAAATTGAATCTATTGTGAATGCTGATTTCATATTGGAAATGTTGCTTTTTTACAAATGAAGATCTCCACAATAAGAAAAAAAGAACTCCCGAGTGAAACGTTCCGATTGACTTGAGCAAAGAAGTGAAAGTCATTTAAGGACTTCCTAAAAATAATTGGGGAAATTTGGGAATTGGGATCAACTCGGAAAATCCCACAAGAAATGTGTACAATTACAATTTCAAACGCTAGCTTTGCCGGACAATTCTTCCCCATTTTCCACCCCCCACCATTTTACATAGCAAATAGGATATATAGCATTCTATTGTAGCAACAAGGCAATCAAATCAGCAGTCTAACTGACTACAAAGATTTGAAGAATCAATTGTGTGCCATACGTTATTGGAAAACCTCAGCGGAAAGATCAATTGAAAGGCACCGAACCATAGTCTGATATAAGCATTTTGTCTATAATGCACATTATGAAGCCTTTTTCATGAGAGCTAAAGCTCTTTAATATGTACAAGTAGTAGGTACCTCCTTGCCCAATTATGCAGATTCCGCGAGCTGTTGAGCACCTTGCCCTTACGGGGGTAGAGAACGAAATCAGTTGACGCGTATGACCAACACCATGTTACCCTCATTGCATTGTTTTTGTAAGCCTACACTTGGAAATGAACATGGTCTCTGAGTAATTTAGACTGCATAGTTTCAAGAGCTCAGCAGACCGTTGCTTCAACACCGGATTGCATCCACTTTGAATAACAAGCAACAACTTGGCTGCTAGACCTGCCTCAACAGCCACAGATGCACATTTTTCCGGGGCGAGCTTGCAGACTGCCCCTAGAATCGATAATGCAAATTGGGTACAGCTTTCTGATACCTTCATGAGCAATTTGACCACATTCGGAATGGTGCTACGACAATCCATCAACGCCAATGCACCCTCTGGTAGGGTAGACAAAGCTTCAAGGATAACCAAGGCTAATTCTAAACATTCAGCATTCAAGTTGGGCAATACTTCCACCAATTGAGGGATTGCCCCAATACCAACAATCGAATTCCTAAGCGATTCGTGTGATGAAATCAGCTTGAGCAATCTCAGACCAGACAAAACCCCATTTGGGTGTCTCTTATCTTTTATTAGTCTCAGTAATCCTACCAAAAGACTCAAGCTTGATAGAACTTCCCACTCTGAATCCTTCCCCTCCATCAACATTTCAAGCAATTTCGTGCAATTTATCTTGGTATCAATGGATCCCTCATTCAAGGTATCCACCATAAGGGAAATCTTATTGGGTTGCATCAAATTAGCCTTCCCATCTGAGTTCAGATCCAAGTGTACCAAAATCCCAATTGCCTCAGAAGCCACAACATGTTTAGTGAAAGGACCTAACAGTGAAGTAATCAAACTAACACCACTGTTTTCAGCCACTGTTTTCTTGGCTGAATCATGGGCAGTGACAACTTGTCTTAGCTCTTTCAAAGCTGAAACTCTAGCCTCACCCTTAACCTTTTTCAATGTCTCTAAAATCTCCAAAACCCTTCCTTGCACATCCTCTGACCTCTTTTTCATAGCCAAATACTTCTGAGAAAACCAACTGTAAATCAGCTGGTGAAGAGTATTGTTAGGAGTGATTGAATCATCCCACAACTCTTGCATTGTGGTGGGACAAGTAAAATGCCCCAAAGAGAACCATTTGAGAATATTAGACCTCTCATATGTTTGTCCTGTGCAAAGAGTAACTGGATCTTGCATGGGCTCCAATGAAATTGGACAAATGAAAACTGAAGGAACTTCAATTGAATCAAGCTCCTCAATCATTTTCTTGAGACTCAATTTCTTTTCTATTGCACCACTATGAACTACTACAACCCCACCTCCACCACCCAAAATCCCATCTTTAACAGCAGTTTCCAGATCCAAAACCTGCCCACCTCCCCCAACATCATACTCCTCACCCCTCCCTCTAGATGGCTGATACATAGGCATTTTTGCTAACCCTAAAAAAACTAACAATTTCTAAGGGGTCTGGTTCAAAGCAGCAGCATTTAGAGGGCAAACATGAAGCGTGTGGATGAAAAAAGAGAAAAGGAAAAGAACAGTCTTTGCACTCTTTTGTCTTCTCTCTTTATCTTTCATTGACAATTACAAGCAGGATTTGACAGGAAGGGGGGACATCTCTTTCTTTATCTGAACTCTTTTTCTCTGGTCAAAAGAGCCATAGTGCTCATTTTCACCATCATTATCATCATCAAACAACACTATAAGGATCTTTTTTTGCAACAATAGCCCCTTCTCAATCACCAAAGCTATACACTTTTCTCACTTACTGTTCAACCTCTAAAAGATTGAAATCATTCCAATCTACAAATCAACAACAAAATAATACCAATAAAGAAGCAATCAAATCCAACAAAGAAAATCTCCACTGAAAAACAAATTCCCCAAAATTAGCACAAAAAAACTCTCCAAGATTTGGACTTTACAAGTTTCAGATCAGGGAAAAGAGAGAAAAATGGAAGAGGAGTTAAAGAGAAACCTTACCCAAAAATGAGAGAGAGAATAAAAGAGGAAGAACAGCTACCTCTTTAGAGTGTGTACCCCCTACCCCCCCTCCACACCCCCGATGGATATGGGTCAAGTTATACCTGGAAACCCTACAAAAACAGTTTTTTTAAAAATATTTTATCTTTCTAATTTTTTAAATAATATTATTTTAGTTTTCCTATAATATACTCCGCTTCATTTTACTAACTTTTAATTTTTTGACGTTACGTTGTTAGTAACTTAAATAACTTTAATCATTCAATTGTGTTTTATACAAACATTCAATATTTTCTTAGACTATATAAATCTTTATATTTTCGTTTAAGCACTACTTATATTATTATCATTTAGCTTGAATTTGATATAAATTAAATAATTTTAATTTCATTTTGAGTTAACTTTATATACAAAAAGGAATAATGAAAGTATTATAGGGTTTATTTTGAAAAGCAAAAAATAAAGTTACCGGCTATAGTCGGTAATTTGACCAGAGAAGCTCGTGGACCACACGTGTATGGTGGTCCAAACTCCGATGCCACCGAAATATCCGGTTTTAAATTTATTTTCTTATTTATTCTAGGGCAAAGAAAATGGAATATTATTAGTAGTAGTAAAAAAAAGGTGATTTGCCTTTTTCGAGAGTAGGAAGGAACTTTTGGTTGGAGTCACGGATGAATTGGGTAATTATCAAAAAGACGCAACAACGGGTCAGTTGGTCAAACTGTAACGTGCGGCGTAGTCTTGGGGATATAAACTACTAATGAGTCTTCTCTAATTTTCATACGCTGAATCTTTTTCTTTTTCTTTTTTTTTTCTTTATGTCTCTTTTTTGTTTTAAAAATTAAAGCTTGGAGATAGAAATTCTTTAAAGGATTTTAAAATATAACAGATCTCAAGAAGATTAGAGTTTTACCATAATCTTAATTAAGATATAAAACTAAAAGCATCAAACATGCCATTCGTGTGGACAAAATATTTCTTTCTTTTTACTTTGGAGGTAATACAATAATTTTATATAAAATATATAGAATATTCATGTCATAACAAATGAAGCACAAACTGTTACGGTATGAAATAATTAATTATACATATATGAGACTTAAAACTGAGATCAATTAACTCATAGCTTCAGTTTGACCATAAATTTTAGCTTCACTTTCAAAAAAATAAAATTGAAAAATATAGTTTATTTATGAAATATGATCATGTTTTCGGAAAAAAAAAATTCAAAAATTTTCAAGTTCCCACAAACTGGGTTAGGGTAGTTTTTGGGTGAAAATTTTTCTTCCACTCACAAAACTTGAATGTTAAAAACAAAAATTTCAACATAACTCCGAAAACTGTTTTTTCAAGTTTTAGTCAAATCTATGTCCAAACGTTAGCTTAGTAATTAACAAAGAGTAGAAAAGACAACTGAGTTATCCCGAGAAGATGTGAAATACTCCCTCCGGTCCAAAATAAGTAATTTTTTGGCCTTTTTCTTGTGGTCCAAAATAAGTGATTTTTTCAGATTTCAAGAATG